GTGGACGGTTGTTATTTCTCTTTCCTTCTCTGTATGTTTGCAGTGTTCGCAGAGTTTTCCTTCACCTGCCTGGTGGGTCTGACCAATGCTTTAGAGCAGGATGGGTTCATCTCTGGCTTCATGGGCTTCTACATAAAAATGGTAACCTCTTGCTTTTCTCTCCAAGACTGATCAGTTTGTTGTTGTTTTTTTACTTCATAAGTTTAAATGTTAAAGTTTGGATGTTTGTTTCCCTTCAGGGTGAGCCTCATCTAACCACTGCCTATGCACTGATGACGTCTTACTGGGAGGGCATCGTTCACTTCATCCTCTTCCTCGTTATCATCCACCGCATGTTCTCTGGGTAGGTTTTGCCGCTGCCGTCACAGTCTCTCGTGTTTGTGCTTTAGTGAGACCTCTGACTTTCTGTCGTGCAGGAAGTCGTATCGTAGCCTGGGCCTGCTGTGGGCAGGCTCCTCCATCGCTCATCAGATCGTTCACATCCCAGGAGTGGTCATTGGTGAGAGCAGCACGAACACAGTCTGGTCAGATCGGCACAGTTGTTTGTGACCACGTGTATTGATGAAGTTCTCATTTGTTCAGGCAAGTATGGGTCCAACATTCGACCGGCGTTTTGGAGGAATATCCCCTTCTTTTTGGCACCTTTCTGGGCAGCCTCGCTGCTCTTTAGCAGACCCAGAGAGATGCAAATCATCACAGCAGATAAGGTAAAAAAGTTCTCGCTTTTAGGATGTGTTCATTATACACTATATACTCCGAGAGTAGTCTAGCCAGAATCTGGTTACAGCTTACATATCTACATACATCTACATACATATATATTGTAGTGCATTAAACTTTAAAGTTCTGTAGCCACCTTTCTAATTAGGAGTCATGCTCAAGGTTGGAGACTAACTCAGCTGTCATAGGGCAAAAGGCAGGGTACACCGGGACACAGGGCTAGCACAGAGACAGACTATTCCCACTCATGGTCACACCCAACTGAGACTCATCAGTTAAGCTGATATGCACCTTTGTGGACCGTGTGAGGTCATCTGATTGTTGGGGTTTTCTTTCTGTTATGGTTCATGGGTTTCTAGGGTCTTTACCTCACAATATAAAGCACCTTGAGCTGAGTGTTGTTGCTACATAAATGGCAGTTGGATTGATTTAAATTTGAATAGAACAGGATCCAAGGATCCAAATGACATTAAATTATACATTTAAAAAAAAAGTGTGTGTATGTATATGTATGTAAGTTGGGAGAAGAAAATTGTTGTTTTTGCATATGAACTCCAGATGGTGTAAGAAAAATCATTTGGGGACATTTCTTCACAGTTGGCCTTTTTAATTTGTACCCACAATAATATTTATTCCACCTGAAATGCATTTTTAGTACTTGGAAAAACTCTGTTAGGTTCAGGAGGTGCTGGAGGATACGTAATACCCTCTTGCTTGCTGTGAATTTTCCACACAGTTACCTTATTTATTCCCACATGAGCTCAGTGGGACATCACACAGGCTTCCCACTGGGGAGCAGGCAGTTTGAGAGCTGTTTTAATATCCAGTTTGACTGTGTTAGACATTTGTCTTCTCACAGGCAGCTCCGCTGGGTAATCTCCAGACACGTTCAGTTTTCCGGTGCCCGTGTGAAAATAACCTGTACGGTGTTAAATAAACAGCACCACCATCAACTGTGAACATTTCTGTGTCGAGCAGATCGCTGCAGAGCAGAAGAAAAGTCTGCTGTTTCGACCCTTTGACCTGCTTCTCTCACTGCTGTTACTGGGATCCATGGCCTTCTCCGTGTTTAGAGGCTTTGTAAGTGAAACATCACAAGACCTTTTCTGCGTGTCGGTACTTGCGCTTCTGTTCGCGCTCCAGTCTTAACTCTCTTCGTGTTGTGCTGCAGGTAGTGCTGGACTGTTCTCTGGACACCTGTTTCACCTACATCTATCAGTATGAGCCATACCTCAAAGACCCAGTTGGCTTTCCCAGGGTTATGGTGAGTCTGAAGACCGAAGACTCAGAAACTGAGTTAACTCTAATATAATATGTAGTTTATTGTTTAACTGTTTGGTGCACAATTCCTTTAGATGCTGGTGTACTTATTCTACGCACTGCCATTGCTAACGGTCTTCATCTACGGTCTGAAAACACCTGGATGTAGCTGGATGTTGGACTGGACCATCTTCTTTGCTGGCGCCATGGCTCAGGTAATTTTAGTTTTCTCATCTTGTGCTGTGATTAATATTCGTTTAAACAAAAGGAAAAATGGAAAGCTTCATGTTGACTTCCCTCCCCCTCACTCGCTGTTCCCTCCAGACCCAGTGGTGCCATATCGGAGCATCTCTGCATTCCCGCACTCCCTTCACGTACCGAGTCCCAGCAGACAAACGGTTGCCTGTTATCGCTCTCAATGCGCTGCTCGCTGCTGTACCGGCGCTGCTGGCCCTGCGCTGCCACACAAACCCCGCTTATTTTATGAAACCTGTTCCTGCGGGACAATCCAACAGCAAGAAAAAGGAAAACTAGACCACACGCAAGCCACGGACTGGTGAGGAATGCTTACTGGGGCACGAACTGAATTAAATGCACACATTTTTCATCCCTAAAACCCAGAGGAAATCTAAAAAACATTGCTCTCTCTGAGTCAACTGTTAGAAAAAAATCAGTCACCTCACCCAGCACTTCCTGTATGGACTTCTGGACCCTGATAAGCAGGCTGTTGATGGAGGTGAGGACCGTGATCAGATCGCACAGCGTTCAGGTGACTCATGCAGACACCCAGTTTGTATCGTCACAAAACTTCAACTAACCTGAACCATGCAGGTCAGCAGCAGCACCGGAGAATGATTCAGTCCCTTTTTTTTTCTATACAGAAATCTAAACCAAAGCTACAAAATTTGAAGATTCATTTTTTTGATCTTGAATATTGCAACTTTCACCCACCTGTGATTTTTAGCACCCCCCACGCTAACTGTATATTAAATGTTGAATATCAGCTGAATCCTCTGTAGGCTGAATAACTTAAGAGTTGCTGATAAGAGAGATGACTCACTCGAGCTGACAGCTTGGAGAAGAAAAAATCCACCTGGTGATCGACGTTGTGGTCTAGCCTTCGTGTGACTGGAGCGTATAAAGAAATCAGACAGATACTAATCGCTGTTCCAGTCCACTCCAAGTCCAGACTGTCATTTTCAAGTTAAATATTCAGTTTACAGTCATGTGAAACGGGGAAAGGGAGCACACGGAATTTGTTTTTGCTTAATAAACGACTTAAATGCTCAAACCACACTCATTCTTTCTATCTACAGTTTGAGAACTGGAGCTCTGAACTGTGGCTATTTTTGTATTATAAAAATGGGACACAGATTTCTCGCAGCTAGCTGTGCATGTCAGTGTTTGATTAAATTACATTCTCATTAACCTTTTCCTTCGCTAAATATTGAGAATATTTATGACTCGCATATCACGTCTGAGCTTCTAAACTTAAACGCACTTCTTCCTGAACCAAGTGGTTTACGGGTTCAGCAGTCACGTCTCCGCAGCTGTCAGTGTTTTCTCCAGCTGGTGATGTCATTGTGCCCTACTGCACTGCTCAAGTTATCAGACTGATAAGAGGTGAACCCTGGATTTAGGTGAGCTGTCAGACACAGCGGCCACACAGATTACTACAGGAAACGCCTCAAAAAGCAAAAAAATACATGTTTTGGCTGCTAAAGTGTCATTTGACTTGGTAAATAGAACATTTCCCTTTTTTGTGTACATACAATAGGATATGCAGGACACAGAGCTGAATGTAAGATGCAGTACAAGAAGTTTGATCACTGAATTTGTTTTTTGTTTTTTTTGTCTTTGTCACAATTTGTGACTCAGATTAAGTTTGTATTTTATAACACACTTACACACTTTAGAAAGCACAGTGCAAATAAACGCAACCCTAACCCTCTAGGCTTTATCTTATTGCAACATGAGTGTCCATTAAAAACAGTTTAGTGTGGTATAAAGTGTTGGACCCACCAACTGACTCTCAGTCATTAGGGTAGAGCCATACCGTCCGGCTCTGTAAATAAAGCAGTGGATCGTTTTTAAAAAGCTTGGTACTGTAATAGGAAGAAACTGATATTCCAGTGTAAGTGATGATACTGCAAAGCAGAAATGTTTGGGAAACGCAGCAAATCAGCCAAATATAGTGGCAGACAATATAAAGTTTACAAGCCGAGTCCTGAGGCACATATGTAAAAGTCTTCATGCTCTGCTGAATCAATAACTGCAGAGCTCCAAACCTCTAGCATCAACATCACGCCAAAAACTTCCCGCTGGGCACTTCATAGTATGTGTTTCAAAATGCTAAATTGCTCCTGAATGTGTACTTTAATCAAGGCCACCTTTGCAAAGAAGATATTTTGCCGCTTCAGGTGAGTAGAGCATCAACAAAAGCACTGTACAGAAGAGAACAGGCACTTGAAGTCAGATGTAGCATGACAGGGAGCTGTTGTGAAGGTGGGTTGCAAAGCAGCTTGCAGTATTCTGTAACTTTACCCAGGCTAAAGTATTTTAAAGTGAAAAACCTATGATCATTTTCAACTCAATAGCATGCATAATTCACTTGAAGTGATCTGTATTCATCTTATGCTGAGTCCTGATGTTGCTTCTCAGTTCATCTATTGCCTAAATTAACCATTAAGCATAACTTCTTATTGACAAAATCCAGACGCTACAGTCAGATGATCCCTTGCCGCAAGGGGTCACCACAGCGAGTAGCTCCAAAGTTTTACACCAGATGCTCTTCTTAGTTTAACCCCACAGGGCATTTTTGTCTCTAGCTGGAACTGAGGTTTAGCTCGCACTACACTATGGAGCTAAAACAAAATAGAGAGATAATAGTAGGGGGAAAACCCCTGACTCAGATTAACTGATCTGGTCAGGTTCTGGGTCGAGCATGACCTCGTGGCAAAACTACGCTGAGTTTGAAAGTGAAATACAGCTGATGGCATGAATGAAAAGCAGAACTTTTGTCCATTTTGTTCGCTTTATTAAGAATGGAGTACAACAGCAGGACAAAAAGTCATAACACCAAAAAAAGTGGATAACAGATCAAATATCAAAGAGACAAGAGACGAAAAAAGAGTGACATTCTACCCATCATGTAAATATGGCCGTGCAAATTAGGTACAATCAAGCGGTTATCTCAAATTATTCTGTAATCCCACCCACACAAACTATGTCAATGGGACGTATACATTAGCTGAGAGTGCTTAAGGGGATTGGGGAGTCTATCGGATTGGACAAGGTCCAGCTATTGATCAGGTTTGAGCCAATAACACACATCACAATATTTACAGTACAGAGATTAGAGGCAATCAAATGATTAATTTTGTTATCGACTGATTGCTGGACTTACATATTGGTATAGAAAAATGGTGTTACGTCAGCTTTCTAAAGGATAAGTAAGAAAAAGAGCATGTTCACTAGCAAATGATTCATAATAAATAGTAACATTACACAAACAGATATTAGAAAAAAAGCACGTCAGTCGAATAAAAGAGACCAGCTATTCAGGTGCTCTATGGAAAAGTAACAGCTACAGTACACGTACAAAAAGCTGGGATACCAGGACTATCTTGCATCAATTACATCTGTGCTTTGTAAACAGAATACTAAAATGAGTTACTTTTTTCATGTAGAACAAGCAAACCTTTCCAAAAAAAGTGACTTGGCACTCCTCTAAGTTTCTGTCTTACATGCATACGTTCACACACTGCTGTCAGGCTGACAGATCAAAAGAAGGTTATAGTTTGTAGACGAGTGGAGGAGTTACTGTTTGGGAGGGCGGATGTTAGGGCGGTGCTAAAGTCAGTGTTCGCATGGACCTCAGTTAAAGAAAGCAGAGAGAAAATAAAAAGAAGCATCAAAAAGCATGGAAGTTAGATTATGGGGATAATCTTATTCACTGGGGGAGTAAAGCTAAGCAGAGAGCACGGTTAGTGGTTAGAAGCGGGAAGGGCAAATGGAAATTGCTGTGATCTACTGTCTTTCCTTATGGGCCATGGTTAGCACCTAGGCATTGTGGATGTTGTATTATTTGGTTCAGTAGTAGCTGTGTGCGTCTTCTCTGGCCTTGTGTCCCTCTCCTCCGTGTCTCCTGTGGCCGTGGCGGTCGTGGCGCTGGTTACGGTGATGGCGTCGGTACCGGTGCAGTCGTCGAGCTGCAGAGGGGAGGAAATGGTGACACGTTGTATATGAGCTGCAGTAGATGAACAACACACTTGTCACTGTGCACAATTACTGCACTGTACACAAAAACCCCATATTCACTGCCTAAATCTCTGCATATATTTTCTTACTCTTAAATGATCTGCTCTGAAAGAACCTTAAGTGTGTAGTTGAACCATAAATACTCGAATACTCAAAATATATTTCCTTGCTGAAGGTTCCTATCGCTAATCAGCTGACTCTTCAATGCTACACAAAAGCCTAATATGAGCTGATACATTATTTATTAGTGAGTCACCTTTGCTAAGATGGGAAAGAGTTAATAAATGATACTTAACAGACTTAAAGCTCTGAGGTTGGTTGATGCTAATTATCGGGTTTGATGAAATCGTCAAGGAGCTGCTTGGATTGTAATTTCACTGATTTTAATGAATCATATCTTACTGCGTTGTTATGTGTGTGTGTGTGTGTGAGGTCATATTTACATCCAAGATTTTTACAGTTGCTTTGACTTAGTGTCCTTGTGCACAACAGAAAGAGAACATTTCTTTTCAGACTTTAACAATGAATCTTCTGTCTCTGCCTCACAACTATGAATTTCACTCTCCAAAGTCTGTTTCAATGATTTCACTGTGTAAGTCATCATTTACGGGCTCTACTTGCCAAAATACGATCACAGGCATTATGAGTATTGTCACACACATTTATAGCGTTTATAAAGTGCCACAGACATGATTTGTGAGCATGGAGCACTCTGCTCAGACACGAATAAGGGCGGAAGCGTTCCGCTCGGAGGGGAGTAAGGATGTGTAGCGGGAGAAAAATGATGCGATATAGGAAAACGTAAAAGTGCAGAGGACAGTCAAGACACACAGAGATATGCATTCAACAAGAAACTGTGACCAAACAGACGTGTGTGAGAAGATGTTACATTACTGTGATATACTGATGTATATGGAAAAAAGCTTTGATAAGGAGTCCACTGTGAATCTAACCACTGCGTTTTGCTCACCATCAAATGGGCTTGCCTTTGTAGTTACACTAATGTGTCTGACACAATGACCTCATTTTGACACCTGCATTAAAGGTTTTCAATGTGTTAAACTCATTTGTGTGTCTGCTTTAACATTTCGCTGCATATATGCATATAAATCAATCTGAACTACAAAATTGATTCATGAAATTTGCCCAACCAGTTCATAAACTAATGACAACTCAATAAAACAACAACCTGGCAGAACCGTCTGAATTTGTAAGTGAGGAGTAAGGCGTGAAAATAATCAATAAAAACTTGTATTGGTGGCACAGTCACTATTATAGAGCTCCAAAGTCACTACAATGCTGCAATGTTATGGTATAATAAAAAAGTAAAAGGGAGTTTCACATCTCAACTTCTACTCAGTCTATAGGGATTTTTTTTTTCTTCTCATACATGATGCTTTCAGTTTAAAGCGACCACTCACACTTTGTGCAGATGATCCTGGGTCGCTCCCAGCTCCCATCGGCCCGGCAGCGTGCGGTGGGGATGTGGCGCTGGTAGAAGCCTTCAGAGCACTGGTAGCGCACCACTGAATGGATATCATAATGTGATCTCCTCCGACCTATCAAATGGGCATTCTCCACCGCAGGTGGGGTCCCGCATAACACTACAAACAAACAGAGAAGCCTCATATCACTCATACAAAAAAGGCTAAATTCCTGAAGAAACATCCAGAGTTTATTTGACGTTAATTAGAACAGACACACTAATAAATACCCATTATAGCAGTCATCGCATATTTTTTTTTTATGTAAGTGCTAATGTATAGTAAATGAAAGCATCGCACAATATGCACAACAATAACTCATGAAGGTCGTCATTTGCAGGAGTGCGCTGCCTCTAGATGGCAGCCTTGTTGCTGTATCTGCTGACAGAAAGAGCTGTTTTAAGGGGCTAGTCTCTGCAGTAGACAGGGACTACAGCCAAACCACAGAGCCATGAGACCACAGCCAGACAAGTAAACACTCTCAAATGACTTAATCCCTCTCCCCCTGTCCTCCTTTATCCTTCCCCGTCCTTTTCTAAGGCCTCTTGATGGTCTTCCATGTCTTCTTTCTTTTTTTCCCCCAAGTCTATGTGATCTCATTGCTTTCACATTTAGGTTGACTGAATCCCAGAGGAAAGGCTTGGGTACAGTAAGTATCAAGAAAACCTGACAAAAAACAGCTTGTAGGAATTTCACATGGCGTTTGAGAACAGGACAATAACTGCAGTTTCAGTTCTTCTGCCTGAACAAGTGTAAGTGGGGCCAGGGGAAAAAGAGCTGCCAATGAGAGGAAGATTTAGATTGATATTCCTCTCAAAAATCAATACAGGTTTTAGCCTGAATCTCAGCTTTCACTCGTGCATTTTGTCAATTTTTGGAGTGTCTGCAGCGATGACCTTTTATAGAGCAAAAAAGCAACTTGTGAAGTGTAGCCAACTACTGATTTTCTGCATGAGAACTGGTGACCAGCTGGTAAGTACACAGAAAACCCAATCATGTAAAGACAGGAGAATCTTTGATAGGGAGCGTCCTTCCCTGTTCGACAATCTGAAAAGACCTTTTTCAGTTTTGTTAGCGAGCTGAGCATTGTTACAGTACCTGTGCCTTTCTTGCAGATGTAGGGCAGGTTGTAGTTGCAGGGCACGTCGTTCCACTTGCCGTCCTCATGGGCAATGGTCACCACGCAGTCCTCGCCACCTGCAAAGAAGTTATCGGGCTGGCTCTCCCTCCAGTTCTCGTAAACCTGCACGGCAGCAAACACCAGATTTCAGATGGATTTGAGTTCATCTGTAATTGTAGTCAGGCTGGGATTCTTGTCATATTTTTAAGTGAAAAGAAAAAAAAACGTGGTATTTTTACACAAATGTGATTTTGTGAGCTTTAAACGTGTGTTTCCTATTGAGCTGGTTTATTATGATGACTTTTCACAGTCTGAAAACAGGAAGTGTAAAAAGCGATCACTGACCAAATCGTTGGTGTCGGTCCACTGAAAGTCCTCTTCCACTGTGCGATCGTTCAGACCGATCCAGGCGTTGTCGTGACCGAGACCTGGAACGAACAGTACATGGCTTCCTTTCATTTAACTGCTTCTGTAAGAACTTTATTTATGTATCTGATAGCATCGCACCGCCACCTTCTCCCTCTTTTCCGTTTAATCGAATTTGTGAATCATGTTTTTTGTGACTTGCTGCTTTCTCTTGTTTTTTTTTTCACACTCTACCTTTTATTGTTTTTATCCCTCAAGCTTCGATTTCATGCCCCTTGTTTGTGATGTATGATATTAATACTTTGTTCTGCTTTAATATTTTTTTCCTAAGAGTGTTGGGTTTAATTTGTGCCATTTGTCTTGATTGTCTCCTTCTTTTTCTTTTAAAAGATTATGACTGAATAAATCAAAATCACCCGTCAGACATACCGTTGATGAACTCCTGCTCGGCAGCAGAGACGACACTACTGAGGTGGGCGCTGTGCTCTCTGCAGTCTTTCTCTGCATCCTCCCAGGTGTGTCTGTGGGTGAAGTACCTGTGGGACAACACGGTGAAAGCAGATTTGATTCACATGTTATGCTTCCCAAAAGATTTAAATGATGTTCAACTTTAAAACGAGACATCTGATCTCCCGTGTTCAGTCTCTACTTTAACTCGTTAGCACGTTGGAGGAGATTTCCTCGCTAATGATCCACGCGCTCCAAGTTAATCTGCCTACCTATTGTGCTCATTTCCAGCACAATATCTTCTGCCAGAGTAGCATTGCATAATTCACAGTTCAAAATAACAATCCTTGTTTGTCTTATACTTGACTCCTCTGCTCATTGTTTACCTGAAACAAGTTGTTTTAGAGTTGTTTTAGCTGTCACTCCCAGAAAGAAGTTTTGCTGTATGCCTGAGATCAACATATTAAGGTTATCTGCTCTCAGCGACACCATTAACAGCCAAGAGTGGAGAAAAGTGTCAGAAGGCGACCAAAACCTGTCCTTTTAACTCATCGGGCTCTAACCTCATTATATGAAACTTTAAGGATGCTCAAAATGTGCAACCAGCGCTGTGGAGTGGAGCACTGTCACCAAGAAGGCTTCTGTTTTTAATGCTAATAGAGGTTTGCATGTTCTCTTTTCCAGCTGTGTCCTCCACGTTCTCTGGATTATCCCAAAGTCCAAAGACATGCAGGTTAACTGGTGATTCTAAACTGGTCATGGATGTCGAATTGTCTGGGGTGCAGAATGAAGTATTATATTAATGTATGGTTAAAGTATTACTTGGCTAAAAATGGCTGCCCCTCCCTGAGCCTGCTTCTGCCAGCAGTTTCTTCCTGTTAAAAGGGAGTTTTTCCTCCCCACTTTCACCAAGTGCTTGCTTACAGGCAGTCATCTGATTTTTGGGTTTTCTTTCTACTATCTTACAATATAAAGCACATTGAGGCAACTATTGTTATCATTTGATACAAATTGATTTGAATCTCCCCTCCAGCTCATCCATGTTATCTAGGGCATCTCACTCTGGTCCATCACCAGCAGCATCGAGACTCTGTCAGGATCCAGTCATTCCTACAACTTCTCTCTGCTAATTTTCTCAGTCTTTCCTGAGTAAACTGGCACAGAGCAGTAAAGTAAGCTGGTTACGTTTTCCATGATTCTTACCTGTAGCAGTGGCCGTGGAACTTCCTCCAGCCGTGCTCACAACCTTCAACATCTGTAAAGAGGAAGGGAAGTTAAAATCATTTCTTCTTTAAACATAGTCAAATACAGCACGCTATGTGAGATGCTATAGTCTATATAAGGAAGCAGAAATTCATTTTTTTCCCCTTCCATTTAGCAAATAAAGACTAAAACATATGACTCGGGCATCTTCAGAAGTAAAATACATAAACTGTAATTATACACAGGCTTCTTTTCCATTCTCGGCACACGTGGCTCTTTCTCTGCACTATTGGTATTCATTAATAACACCAAGGCCCGTAGAATCATTTATAACTGCAAAGGTTAGAAATTCATTAATCCTCATTACAACTAGT